CTTTGTTGAAAAGAAAAATAGAATAGGGAAGAAAAGGGGAATCTCATATTCATTCATCTGTACCTCTATACAACAAGTATGGAGTTTATATACATACAAGGTAATTAACTAAGAAACAATAATGAGAGATAATTACATAACCGTTACAAACGTTACAGTACTATATAATAATGTCCATAATAAGTATAATATTTATAACACTCCCCCTTGGACATTATTTGATCACGATCTTGTCTCGTCAAAAACTTGCTAGGAAAACCCTGTGGGAAAAACCTAGACAATAAGATAGTACTATTGATAGTATATTTAAATATATTCATGCCTCGTTAAAAACGGAAAACCACGTGAAAAAAACCTAGTTGAAGAAAAGAGTACATGATATATGTAGAAATTGTATTGGTTACCTCATTAAAAATCTTAACTTAAGAAAACCCTGTGGGAAAAACTTAGTTAAGGGAAAAAGAGTACAACCATAAACCTTCAGGGCATAATCTGCATAATCTTCAGGATTTTGGAGTTTGTTCATTTATTAAACAATTATTTTGCAACTTTTCCCCATTGTCATTACTATATCATACTCATGCCTCGTTAAAAACCACACTAGAAAACCCATTGGGAAAAACCTAGTGAGGAAAAGAGTACATGATATGTATATGCTGCAAAAAGTATAACTATTAGTCCTTTTAAGACCCAATCTCCATGATTGACCAATCTACAGAATTGACTTGAGTGAATGTACTTCTCGTCTCCCCCTGAAGATAACAATCTTCAAGTTGATTTTTCTTTACTTACACATATCAATCTTATGATTATGAATATTTTGTAGGTATACATTTGCTAACTTGTCACTAGAGCAAACCTTCTGAACAAATATTTTATCACTCTTCTGGAGTTCATGTGGATCAAGGTATTTTATATCATGAAAAACTATATACGTTTTTATCTGTAACAAGTATGATGACTCCATGCCAAAAAGCATCAATACGAGTATTTGTACCTTGATTTGCTATTCATTATCTCATCTCATAACTTAACATCATCAAACTCTTTATATATTTCATTGATGTTTACACCATAAATATTGACTGAGACCATAAATAAGTCCATTATCAACTCTTTATTGAGCACATAATGGTACATATTATTCCTTCTATATGAGGATAATAACCCCATTCACAACTCTTTAAAGAGTAAATAATGACACTTAAATAAATCTTCATTTCGTAAATTATAAATCCATTGGGAATTTTTCAAGATAAACTAGAGACATTTAGGATATTTTCAAGAGGAAACGATATTTGAGTTTCCCAATCACATATAACATTACTAGGCATGTTGATGATAATGTATTTTCATACTTTGTTCTGGGGGAGAAAATACCTTTAGTCAATTTATATTGACTATAAGAAAGATCATAGTTAGTAACTTACTAACTTTTATATTTCTTATTTTGTGATTTTCATTCATCACATTTTGACAAAATTCATATAACAAGTTACCCATATAAATATGTGATAACTATAACTATTAGCTACATATCTAATTTATTTACTACTAGTTTTATTGAATAGCGGAATATAAAGCCATGACTAATATTGGGTCTCTGTGAAAACCCTCCACTCGCATTTTATTAGCGAATTCTGATTTGTATGCCTTAATTGCTATTTTCTATGAAAACAGTTTGCACGCTGCAGGCATTATACTACTATTTTCATTTCTGGATCCAGACTTAAGTATTTATGAGCAATAGAGGCAAAATATGTTGTCGACAACTGTAACAGCTTTGTAGATATCTTTTATACACATGGCAATTTTGTATCAACCAAATATATGGCATTTCCCAAGAGTATTTGGATTTGGTAGTTCCTCTTCCCCAGTATTTTAGTTATTTGGTGCACCTACAATTTTACTGGGGTTTTCGCCTTCTAGACGAATATCTTCAGGATAAAATTTCTATATTTCTGGAGTGACAAAATTTCTTCACTAGATCTAGATTTGCAAATTCTTAAAACAATATATGCTTCTGGCATAATGGTAGAGATGTTTAGTCCTAGTTGGGGATTTCAATTCTTAAAATATTTTCTATGGACTTAGTCACTCCTTTGGGATTTCTAGCAGATAATTTGTTCAATGTCCGAACTTCTGGTTCTATAAGGCTAGTACATGGGTTTAAAGATTTTTATCAATTTCTCGGCATTTAATTAATTAAAAATTTCAAATCTCCCCCTAATGCCGAGAAAAGATCTTATAATGCAACCAACATCATTGTTGATTTCTCATGATGGGATATAGCTAGAAGAAGGGTTGCATACTAAAAAAAATGAACGCAGATAGGGAAATGCATCTTGTACTAGCGTATGTGATATGTAGTTGATCAACATATTGGTTTTTCAATTTTGAAGGTCCCCAACAAAATATTTCCTCCAAAATTGCTTAATTTGCTTTCCGAACAAAGTTGTATTAAGATTTAGAACTTTGATTAAAAAATGATATTGTCTATCTTAAATAATTGTTTCATGACAATTACAGAAACAAATAGAGTAATATTGCATTCTCACAAATTTCAAAATTGACATGAATAGCCAATATATATAAAAAAAAAATGTCATAAATAATATGGGCAATAATATGACCATCATAGTTGACAATGAGATCTACATACACCAAATATCCTTCAGGGATTTACTTAGGGTCTATAGATTATTTTAGATCAAATATTCATAACAAATGGTTTAGATCAAAAAGGTGTAAAAAAAAATTAGTAATGCAAGTGTTTACCTCTGGGCAAAATTTTATTGAAAATATGCACTATTACTTTGTTTTGATACTCAGATTTGAGATATTCAAGATTCAAGACTCATGCCATATAATTTTATGATAAAAAATAGCACCATCAATATGCATGAATTTGGACAAGTAAATCATTTGACTTCCAAAACAGAATTAAGTTAATTTGACATTAGTCATATAAGTTGTCCTAGTGCTATTATCATACAACTAGTGCTATGAATTTGCCTTCTGGGCAATGCTATGTTTAAAAATTCATGCTATAACCACTTGTTGATCAAGACAATCCTACAAGGACTATCATATAATGAGTGTATAAATTAATGGCTTTAATTTGCCATCTGAGCATAGCTCCCAATAAAATTTAAGATAAATCTCAAAATATATAGCCTATAGCAAATAATTGTTACTATTAGGAACAAACCAATAAATGCTCCTTTATGATGACTCGCATTGTCATAAGCATGAGATAACAGTATGTGGTATAAAATTAATCATCACAATTATCTAAGAATGACCAATTCATTGTAGGCCAATAATAGTTTGATTACAAAGGGTGTTCACACTATACTGATCAAGTAAATCAAGACTTGTAACACCCAAATATCCCATCAATTGCCATTCCATCAAAATTATTGGTGAGATCAATTAATACATACACTGTATGTCTGTATGTAGCCATATACAACATATCTCCCATTAATCAATGGACATTATAGGAACTATTCATCAAAAAACATCATCATGCATATTTAACTATTTGGTAAATACATGTTCAATTCTGTAGAATAATATGACTAATCCACGGAATAATCATATATATATCAAATAAATATATGCACGTAAAAATATTTCTTAGAAAGTAAGAATACTTAGTTGTTGAGGGAGTTGTTTTACTCATTTTCTGATCATTCGATTCCTTACTGTCCATCAGATGCAGTTGTATTTTAGCAAAAGCATAGATTGCCACTGGGAGGATAGCTCTCAGCTCGTCTATGGGCGCCGCAAATGCTCCGGCGATCCGGTTCAGTGGCTGTCTCCCCCTCCGCGAGGCGACCACGTCTACACGCACATCGATCATCTTCTACTCAAATCCACGACGTAGAAATCTCGGTCCTCAAATCAGATTTCCGCTTCACATTCCCTCCGGTCTATCCTCAGAGAAGGCCTCCCTGTCGGCCCCAAATTCCCCAACTGGCGATCATCCTCCCCGAACGTCATCTGTCAATTCAGAATGGGGATCGGATCTTTGAATCACCATCGATAGAGGAATAGATGAAGACTGGAGGATTTCCGAAGTCGCCGCAATCCGCGATCTCATCTCAGATGATGAACGATGATGATCGCTGGCCCCTAAAGAGATCACGAACGAGTCTGGAAACCTAGCAACAATCTCCGATTACCCTTGCGCCATTGTTTTCGTCGAAGCAGAAGTCAACGCCACCTGGGGTGCGATTTGAGATATCGCAAACGATGGCCAATCGTCCATCTAATGATTGCGATGGGTGGAGGCTGTGTCCGAGATCATTCTGGCCGGTCTCGAATCATCATCGCCGGTGTGTAGGCGTCGGATCGCTGCTGGAGAAAGGACAACGCCTTTACGGCGTAACTCACACAGAATGTCGCGGACGTCCGTCGATCGTTGCCCTGATGAAGGCGACGAGTGTGGGGGCGATTTCGGATTTGAGTTTGAGGCCAAAACATGATCGTAATTGGTTCTCCTAGAATATACAGAGCAAAGCGCTAATAACGTGTTGAAACGAAAAATAGAATAGGGAAAAAAAGGGGATTCTCATATTCATTCATCTGTACCTCTATACAACAAGTATGAAGTTTATATACATACAAGGTAATTAACTAAGAAACAATAATGAGAGATAATTACATAACCGTTACAAACATTAAAATACTATATAATAATGTCCATAATAAGTATAATATTTATAACAAACTTCAATTAATTCCATTTAACCAACCAAAGATGTGGAATAATTTAAAAACATACACTTTAATTAAAAAGCCTAATCATTTTTAATTATATGGATGTCTTTGATTGATTTTATTTTTTCTTTTGTAATTCAGCCGATATCATGCAAAATAAGGACTATATTTATGACTTATTTAACAAGAAAGAAGTTATGTCGTTAAATTTGATTGTAAAGTTGGTGTAAAAGTTTAGCGCACATAACGTTGAAAATTTTATCATCCATTATATGGCTACACGAGCGGACTCTCCCTCTGAGAACTTCACGCCGTCGGTGACTCATCGGTCGCCGGAAGATCAAGATCTATTGGAAAGAAGCACGAAGAAAACCAAAAGAGGTCGAGATTACTTACAAGCTGCGATGTCATCGCTGAACGATAATCTGGGCCAAGACTCCCCTGCTGTGACGAGGGGAAATAGACCCGATTCAAACCATTGGAGAACGCCATTGGCAACCCCTATCCACATCCCGGATCGTGCGCCGGTGGTTGAGGTTGATTCTAATGATGATATGGAGGAGGATGGCAGGTCATTTGATTATCCGGTCATCAAGGTCACTAAGGAGGAGAAGAAGAGACTGAGGCGTCCCTGGCGTAGGTTCGTTGATTATCAATATTCTTGGAAGAACTGTGGGTTATTCCTATCTATTCCAGCGTCTCCAAAGAATGTGGAAAACTGAAGCGCCTTTTGAACTGATAGCCCTAAACCACGACTATTTCCTGGCGAAATTCGAATCCCTAACCGATTACGACGCCATCAAATTTGGGGGTCCCTGGATGGTCCTTGATCACTATCTCACAACGCAGCTATGGAGACCCAATTTCGACTCAAGAACTGATAAATTGGAGAAGCTGTTGGCTTGGATTAGATTCCCCTCACTCCCAATCGAGTATTTCGATGACGATTTCCTCAAAAAGATAGGCGATGTGATAGGGAAGCCGTTGAAAATCGATGTCACCTCAAGCACGGCCTCGAAAGGTAAATTTGCTAGAGTTTGTGTTGAATTAGATATCACTAAGCCACTGTTGTCAAGATTTGTATTAAACTGGACTGAATGGCCAATTGAATATGAGGGTATACATCAAATCTGTTTTAAATGTGGTATCTATGGCCATCGTATGGACATGTGCGGCAAGGAAAAGGTTGGAACTAGCGAGGATAACGCACAGGCTGATGGCAGAACTGGTGCACATACTGATAATAATCTGCAGTCTCTCCCGAAAGAGAAATATGGCTCCTGGATGCTGGTTACTAGAAGGGTGAGGAAGAACCAGTCTAGGAACTCGAATGCTCCGGGGAGGAACGATCATCGACAAGACCCATTTCCACCAGCCCCTCCACAAGAGAACCTGGCCTCTCAGTCTAGATTTGGCCCATTGGATGGTATGGAGGAAGATGAAGGGGTTCACCAGCAACCCAACCACCCCCACCAACCAGAAGCCCAGCAGGCGGACATTGCCCTGCCTAGGATTAGGACGAATTATCATGGGGTGAGACACCATGAGGAACAAAGGAATCCAGTGGATATAGCGAGGAAAGAAACTCCGCAGGCCTCCCAGAACCGGCCCCAACATATTACCCAAGATCCTGGCGCTTCTCGAGGCTTCAGAGGCTCCCAACCAAATCGTGCAGCGGCAGTATCCAAACACACTGTAGTCCAGGGTTCTGTTAGAGATGGTACTATTGCATCCTACACTGTCTACCGCCCAAACAATTCGGAAGTGTTTCCAGGTCCCCCACCACTAGCAGCGTTTGAAAACACTTTCAAGGAAGTCCCACCAGATAAATTGAGTGATCCTCCGCCCTTAGTAGTTCCCCAAGATGTTACTATGCAGGTGGTTGATGGTCGTGATGACCCAGTTGTTGATCTGGCTGCTTCCAGCCTTCACCATTAGGTGTTTTCGTTCCCTCTCTTCTCTTGTTTTTATGATTTTTTTTATCTTGGAATTGTCAGGGTGCGGCCTCTTCCTCCTTTAGGCGCACTCTTAAACTGTTGCTTCGGTTGCATAAACCTTCATTGATATGCCTTCTTGAACCAAAGGTTTCGGGTGTTCACGCCGATAATATTTGCTCATCCTTAGCATTTGATGAATGGGTTAGGGTAGAATCACTAGGCTTTTTCTGGGGGTATTTGGATTTTGTGGAAGTCCTCAATTACCATAGAAATTTTGTACACTCATCCACAATTCATCTGTTTGTAGGTTCAGGATACTCATGCTGGTCACTGGCTGCTTTCCATGGTGTATGGCAGTCCGGTATTATCTCTGAGAAAGAAACTCTTTGCAGATCTCTCGGGTTCCTTTTTTGATCCACAGGGCCCGTGGTTAACGGTTGGTGACTTTAACTCGGTGACCTGTCGAAACGAAGTTAGCAACCCGGAGACCTTCACTTCATCAAGAACTGTCGACTTCAATGATTGGATATTTAGGGAAGGGCTTATAGACCTAGGCTTCACGGGGCCTAAATTCACATGGATGCGTGGAGTAGAGTCTACCACCTTTAGAGGAGCCCGGTTGGATCGCGCCTTGAGCAATTTAGATTGGAGATGTCGCTTCCCAAATGCAGACGTTAAACACCTCCTGAGAGTGGGTTCGGATCACTCCCCCCTGTTAATCAACACCAACCTGTCTAGGCAGATTATTAATGTGGCAAAGTTCAGATTCAATATGGCTTGGCCTTTGCATCCCAGCTTTCAAACTTGTGTTCGAGCCACTTGGAATGAAGATCATGATCTAACAAAGAATATCTCAGTCATGGCAGAATCTCTAACCACCTGGAACAGGGAAACGTTCGGCAATGTTTTTCAGCGTAAGAAGCACCTTCTAGCAAGACTACAGGGGGTCCAACGTAGCTTGTCCTTGGGAGCTAGGATAGACCTCATCAAATTAGATCGCCGGCTTCGTAAAGAACTCGACGAGACCCTCTATCAAGAGGAACTTATTTGGTTCCAGAGATCCTGTGAAGAGTGGATTACATCCGGGGATTGCAACACCCGCTTCTACCACATTGCCACGACAGTCAAAACCAACCAGACAAAGGTGAATTGTCTAAGGGATGAGGGAGGTAACTACCTTACAGATGATTTTACGATTAGGCAGCACACAAGGGACTACTTCCGGACTTTGTTCTCTATGGACCCAACCTGCTCTGCCCATTCTCTGAAAAATGGTTTTTTTCCGACAATATGTGCTGAAGATTGGGCAGAAATCAACGTTCCAGTAAGCATGGATGAAATAAAAAGGGCATTGTTCGACATGTCACCTTGCAAAGCCCCGGGACCTGATGGAATTACAGCTGGTTTTTTTTCAGAAATCTTGGGAAATCGTTCGTGGCAGCCTTCTAAAATTTGCTAAGGACTTCTTTGAGCACGGTCGATTACCACCCGGTTGTAACGACACGCTTCTATCACTCATCCCAAAGGTCTCGAACCCGGAGAACATCAAACAGTTCCGCCCCATTGGCCTTTGCAATGTCTCATATAAACTACTTACAAAGATTATGACCCTGCGCCTCAAAAACATTTCCAGGAAATTAGTAGGCCCACATCAAACGAGCTTCATCCCAGGGAGACAAATCGCCGACAATATCTTGGTTTATCAAGAAATCCTAAACTCCATGAGATCTAAGAAGGGCAGGACATGATGGATGCTGCTTAAAGTGGATCTTGAGAAAGCCTATGACAGGCTATCTTGGGACTTCATCGAAGATACTCTAAAGGATATTGGATTCAACTACAGCTGGAGAAGAAATATCCTGAATTGTGTCACCTCCTCAAAACTTGCTGTACTTTGGAACTCCTGCCATTCGGACTGGTTCTCACCAGGGAGGGGGATAAGACAAGGGGACCCCATCTCTCCCCTCTTATTTGTGCTTTTCATAGAAAGATTAAGTCACATTATTAATGATTCTATATCCTGTGGCCGCTGGAAAGGTATTAAGATTACTCGACACGCCCCTAACTTGTCACATTTGTTTTTTGCAGACGACCTAGTCCTATTTGGTGAAGCCACAGTCCATCAAGCTTTGGAGATGAAGCACTGCCTCGAGCTGTTTTGTGCAAGTTCTGGACAGAAGATTAGCCTTTGCAAGTCCTCTCTATTCTTCTCTAACAACATAGATACAACCACTCAACAAAGGATTGAGGAGGCAATTGGCATTCCTATAGTACAAGACTTGGGAAAATATTTGGGAGTCCCTTCAATACATGGTCGTCTCAAGAGCGATTCTTTCGGTGGTATCCTAGAAAAGATTCAAGCGCGCTTGGCGGGCAGGAAAGCGAGATCTTTGTCCTTAGCGGGGCGTCATGTGTTGGCTCAATCCGTACTTGGTTCAATCCCCTATTTTACTATGCAAACTACCATGCTGCCGGAGGGAGTCATCGCCTCTATTGAAAGACTGATCAGAAACTTCCTTTGGGGCAGCAGTGATGGGGTTAGGAAGTGCCATCTTTTAAACTGGAACGTGGTAACTAACAGCAAATCCAATGGAGGATTGGGGATCCGCAGCCTTAAGCATATGAACTTAGCCTTCCTAGCCAAACTAGGTTGGAGGCTTCTGCAGGACGATGACACTCTCTGGGTAAAGCTCTACAAAGCCAAGTATGGTGTGGTATCTTCGGACATATCATCTTGGCAATTAAAACGCAATAGTTCGAATGCTTGGAGAGGAATCTTTAAGACTAGACCCATCATCCAAAATGGATCAAAGATGATTGTAAGGAATGACCTAAACTCATTCTTTTGGCAAGACAAACGGCTAGGCGAAAAATCACTGATGGAACTTGCTACTGACACTGTTCCCCTTCAGGATTTAAATAGATCGGTTGCATCCTACTGGGATAGGGAGGAGGGTTGGCTCTGGGACCAATTCGACAGCTTACTTCCTGTAGAATCCCTCAATAAGCTGGCAGCTTTCATCCTTGTCGACGAACCCGAACTAACAGATTTAAGGGGATGGAATGACAAGTCCAATGGGGCCTTCTCTGTTAGGTCTGCCTATGCCTTTGCGGTAAATTCAAGTGAATCAACAGAAGCGGCTAAATGGAACAACATTTGGAAATTAAAACTTCCTAATCGCATTCGTACATTTCTTTGGCTCTCAAGGCACGACAGAATTCTGACAAATCTTAACAGATTAAAACGTGGAATGACCAACGCTGCGGACTGTTGGCTTTGCAATGGAGTGATTGAAGACTCCGAACACGTGTTACGACTCTGTCCATCCGCTGAGGATGTTTGGAAGCAGATCTTGCCTGAGACCTACAACAGACTACAAGGATTAACTTACAAGAACTGGATCGATGAAGGAATTTCTTCGACAGCAAAGAACAGAAGACCATGTAGCGATAACATAATCTTTGCCGTCGCTGCATGGTGTATTTGGAAATGGCGTAATGAAGCTTTCTTCAACGGAACTATCAAAGAGCTTAACTCAAAAATCCTTTCCATTAGATCCCAAGCAGAGGACATCAGTAGAGCCTTTGCTAGAGAAAGAGGTCCCCATTCAATTGAAAGGATATGATCTGGAAGCAACTATGCTGGGAAAAGCCGAGGGAAGGAATTGTTAAACTAAACGTAGATGGATCCGTGTCCTCAAGCTCTCAATCAGCCGGCTGTGGTGGAGCTATTAGAGACCATAATGGGAGGTGGAAGAGAGGCTTCCTTGCATCTTTTAAGTCCTGTACTCCATTTGAATCAGAAGCTTGGGCAATCCTCAAAGGTATCCAACTACTAGCGTCTATGAAGTATTCCCATGCTATTATAGAAAGTGATTCTGCAGAGGCGGTGGAGTACATTAACTCTACCAGGATACCATCAATTGCTGGCCACAACATCCTAGAGGCCTGCAAACGTGAGGTTCGCTCCTTTGAATTCTGCCAGTTCAAGTTTATCCCTCGTGAAATCAACTGCGTGGCAGATTGTCTAGCTCGTCTGGCAAGATTACAAGCTGCAAGTTTCCAGACTTTACTTGACCCTCCAGCAGAAACTAGATCTCTTTTAGATGAGGACGCTGCTGGCTTTCCGGTTTGGCGTAACATGTGTAGTTCCCCTTAGTTTTTGTACTGCTCCCTTTGTGGGTATCCCCCTTCCTCCTTATATATATTATAACGTTGAAAATTTTAGTCACTAATTCGTTGCTTGACATTAACTCTTGTAACCAAATAAGAATTAAAATTTAGGTAGGTAAGATTAACGACAGAAATTTTAATCATTATTCCAACAACAACAACAACTCAAAATCATATAAACAAAAACAATAATATAATTCAAAATCATATAAGATATAACAAGTGCCAATTTTTACATATAACATTCTAATTTCATTAAATAACATTATTAACGAATTTAAGATACAAAATTGCTTTCCTTACATGGTTATTTACATTTACTAGGATTCCATATTACTACTTATCAAAGCTTGTCGAAAAAAGTTAATCCCAATTTTAAAGGGCTTCAAACTGTGACTAGACAAGAGCATTTTGAAGGATAGAATTAAATTACTGAATGTAACTCAATAGTTCAGCAAACATGGTCAAATATTGATGGGTACAAGTGATTTATCCACATCTTGCTCAAAATAATATATATTGAACCAGTAAGTTAAGCACATGTAAGTAAGTATTCGTCAAAGCTAACTGTATATATGGCTGTTATTCAACTGGACTCATCCAATTGCGCGCGGTTATGGAGTGACGTTCTGGAAAACGTCAGACCAATTACCGCCGGCGGGTATGCCGGTCTCCTATAACCACCAGTCGCCGCCACATACTGGTCGCCGTCAATCTGTCTGCTCGGAGTGTTCGCCGTCGGGGGTGGAGGGGATTTGGGACTATCGCGGCCGTACCAGTTATCACTACCAATCATAGTTGGTAGAAAGATAAAGCTTTCAAGTTTATTAACGTAGTACAATATTGAAAGTGGGAACGGCCAGGACAAAGAATATTGTGCTGCCGATCTGGAAGGCGTTGCGGGCTCAGAGGGGGCGGCGAGGGTGATGGCCTGTAAACGGCGTCGTGTTCACGGCTAGACGACAGCAAGACATTTATCGTACGAGGCTGTCGGAACAGTCTTGACTGAGTAGTTTGAAGGAGAGAAGAGAATGTCAGAATGAATGTAATGACAATCAACATAATCGTCAGACTGATCTCCATGTTCCTTAATTACTGGCCTTTTGTGGGTTGTGAAATGAGAGATATAGTTGAATACTTGAATGAAGATGAATCACAATTCACAAATGAGTGGTATTTATATACAAGTTATAGGACTATAGGGTATCGTGTGAATATAGAAAAAGTAAAGTTATAATAGTCAAAGTCATCACCTGCATTTTTTATTTACAACATGTGTTGTGGAGTTTTAATTTTTTGTTTGTTTGTTTGTTTTTTTTTTATACTTACCATTCAAACTCAATTTTATTTTATAAAATATAAGTCATATTTATAAAATAATATATTTGTATACTTATTGTACAATTATAACTAATTTTCTCGTTAACATCTTCTAAGCTTCAAGCTAAGAGTGCTCTATTTATAGAGCATGGAGTGCAAAATTCAACTGAGTTTGAAACGTGTACTGTCAGCTAGCGATTTTTGAGATGATATGTATCCAGAGGCTGACGTTACATCCTTTTGCGTTGCACACCTTTGATTACTAGATATTAATTATTTTCTTTTTGGTATAATACTTTATTTTATCTCAAAATTAAAAGTATTTTAAATTTTTTTTTTTTTTTTTTGCAGTTTTTCAAAATATGTCTTTTAATTTTGTTAGGAGCCTTAAAGATATCTAAAAAAAAGAGTGTCTAACAACCCTTTTTATCAAATACATTCTTTATTTCTCGTACTAGACCTTCAATCTTGATTATGCCATTTTGTACCATTATTGATAGACCTAGGATCTGCTACACCGAACAAATATGCAATTCCTAAGACAATTATACAAATTAGTTTCTTGTTTGAATATTAAGACATCTATTGGAAGACTTCAACACATGAATTAAATTAAAGGTCTGCTATTGGCTAGTTCTGTTGTTAAGAAAATTTGATAGGTTTTCTATTTGATTGTTACTATCACGATCTACCATGAGTGTTATTCCGTTAAAGATTTCCCAAATAATTTATTGGGTTCTGCTAGAATAAATTCTATTGATATATATTATAAGATCTGTCATATAACTTCTGTTGAAGTATAGATCTACTTCTCAAGATTTTCTAAGTATTGTTTCAAAAAAAAAAAATAAAGATCTTCTAAAATTGGAATTATGTTTTAAACAATTAAATCCCTTATAACACGTTTGGTTCACGGAATGAATTTGGAGGGAATAGGAATGTTATTCCACAGGGAAAGGAATAGGT